AAGGCTGAAACTAAATTTGGGTGGGAATATCCCCCAAATTTTTAGCTTCCAGCTTTTGCGGTTCCCGAGTTAAAAGTTACTAACAAGATGCGTCAGACATATACACACAAACGCACATCAGGCCCGCATGCCGCCAGATGTTGCCCATGCCTGGCCTAACGCATTCTTTCGGATCCTTGAATGCTAGATGCGGACGGAGGCGTCACAGTTTTACAACTCACAGCTTTACGTAATTCATATAGCTTCGAAAAGAATAAGCCTGGTTTTTGTTCATACTGTTTAGGTGAAAGTGTTAGTGGAAGAAATACGGGATGGCGAAAGGTAATAAAATGCAATAATTGGCCACTACACCGATTTTTGACGCGAAGATGCGTTTTTTGCGCAGTTCCCAGCAAGGTTTTTGTCGTTGGCAGTACTATTTTCTCCCGTAGATGCTTCTAGCTAAAAAAAATTGGAATGTGAGAAAACATTCCACGACTGTGAGAAAACATTCCCCTAAAATTTCAGCTTTCTAACTTTTCAGGTTCCTAAATTAGCAGCTTACCTGCAAGAAATCTTCACGAGCCTGCACGTGCGCCCAAGCACACCTGGGGGATGGGTTCGAAATCATCAAGTCTTACATGGACGAGGAACATTCCCTTAAAATTTCCAGCTTTCTGTCTTTTCCGCTTTTCGAGTTAGCAGCTTACCTGCCAAAAATTTTCACGAATCCGCATGTGGGAACTACGCGAGCAAAAGCGTACATTTTGGGGATATTGACCTTTACATGCATATAGATTAAGTTCCCAACGTTTCAGCCTTGTAGCTTTTGTAGGTCCCATGAAAAATCTGCAGACGAACACAAAGATAACCATCAATTTTTGCAGGGCATAGGTGCAAAGAATGCATAAAACGCGCGTCGTCGAGAGTCTGTTTGTGTGTGTATGTGTGGTGTGTCCGAAAGCGAGTGAACTTTTTCATACATTTTCAACTTTGCGATCGAAGAAGCTAGGTAGCTAGAATTTTAGGCGCATGTCCCTACACCATATAGTGCCTCTCCTTTTTATTAAATTCTACGCTGGAATACGCTTAAATCCCATGTCTAGAGCCTGAACGAAAGCGCACAAAATTTTTGGCGAGAAGCGACCTTGGGAACCAGTTAGGATAGAAAGGTGAAAATCTGCAAGTTTGTTCTTTGTGCCTTTACGAGCTAAAGATTTCAAATTCAGTTTCGCACATGCAATCACGTCAAAGTTCGCGAATGGTGTGATATCGACTCGAAAAGTAGCCGGAAGGACTCATATAGTTATTTATTGCCAATCTGGGGCTCACATAGTTGAACTAAATTTCTAATCGGGCATGCACCACAACTTGTCGCAAGCTGAAGGTGTCTGCAGTGAAGTAGCGATTCTGAGTACCAAGCAAACTACGATGATGAAATTTTACAGTGGTATTCTATATGCATGCTTGGTTTAAAGCCACCTTGATAGTTAAATTGCCTTCACGCGAGTGCGAGAAAAACTT